TGACTGTCCCAACCACATTCTTTATTTTAGCTAGAAATCACTTCTATGTTGATTATAGTATAAATTAATTTAGTTCTTCCCTCTCTTTGCCTTTGACAGCATCTGTGGAACCCTCCATTCTGTGGATCAGGTGAGAAATACCAAGGACTCAAGAGTTTAGGGGAGTGGAGAGAGCTTAAGGATTGGATACTGATATCTTGTCTCTAGGGCTAATAATAATGTTTATTTTCCTTTCTTAGTATCTCAACATCAAACTAACTGACATCAGTGTGACAGATCCTGAGAAATATCCTCACATGGTGAGTTGGGGTGGTGCAGAAAAGCAGGAAGCCTGCAACTGGAGTGGTCAGAGGACATTTGTGTTTGTGTGTGATGTGTGAGTGTGTGTGTGTGTGGGGTGTGTGTGTGTGTGTGTTTGCATGGGTGTTTGCTAGTCCTGGAGCTTGACCTAAGGGCCTGGGCACTGTCTCTAAGCTTTTTTGGCTCAAGGTGCTCTACCATTTGAGCCACAGTGCCAATTCTGGCCTTTTCTGAGTAGGTTATTGGAGATAAGAATCTCACAGACTTTCCTGCCTGGGCTGGCTTTGAACCTCGATCCTCAGATCTCAGCCTCTTGAGTAGCTAGGGTTATAGGCATGAGCCACCAGTGCCTAGTATGGAGGACATTTTTTTCTTTCTTTTTTTGCCAGTCCTGGGGCTTGAACTCAGGGCCTGGGTACTGTCCTTGCTCAAGGCTAGCACTCTACCATTTGAGCTACAGCTCTACTTGTAGCTTTTTCTGTTTCTGTGGTACTGAGGAATGGAACCCAGCGCTTCATGCATGTTGGGCAAGCACTCTACCACTTAGCCACATTCCCAGTCTATGGAGGACATTTATTTTGGGGGGGGGGTTCAGTTGTGGGGCCTGAACTCTGGGCATGGGCACTCTCCCTCAGCTTTTCAGCTCAAGGTTACCACTCTACCACTTGAGCCACAGCGCCACTTCCGGCTTTTTTTCTTTTTGCTTATGTGGTACTGGGGAATCGAACCCAGGGCCTCATGCATGCAAGGCAAGCGCTCTACCACTGAGCCACCTTCCCAGCCCCTATGGAGGACATTTTTTAAAAGGATGTTTTCATATTTCTCTGTACAGTTATCAGTGAAGAACTGCTTCATCCGGGGTTCAGTGGTCCGCTATGTACAGTTGCCAGCAGATGAAGTGGACACACAGTTGCTACAGGATGCAGCAAGGAAGGAAGCCCTGCAGCAAAAACAGTGATGGCTCCTACTCCCTTTCCCCTCCCTTGTCCATTGGTGACCTTCTAACTTCATGTCCCAGCTAGTGACACATCCCCCCCACACTTGATTTTTTTAATAGTTGCTTTTTGTTTTGTTTTTTTTTAACTAAAGGATTGGGTGGGTGAGAAGAATAATAGTATAATAATGGGGGCAACTATCCTCCCCCTGTTAAGGGGGATAAAGAGCCTGGGGAACAACAAAGCCTTCCCAGTACTCAGCATCTGCCTTTCACACTCCTTCCATGGATTTGGGAACCTCAGGTCTTTCTAGGGCAGCATTTGGGGGATGGAAGGCATCTGTCCCGCATCGGGAATAAAATTTATGATGCAAAATTGAGTCTTGGTTCTGTGGTCTGTGCTCTGACAGCAGGAGACTGAGGGAGGGTGGGATGCGATGAGTGTGGTGGAAAAGGTGTTCAGTTCTCCAAGATCTGGGATTCTTCATTTCCAGCCAAAATTTAAAAGTCCCTAGCATGGGCTGGGAAGGTGGCTCAGTGGTAGAGCGCTTGCCTTGCATGCCTGAGGCCCTGGGTTCGATTCCTCAGCACCACATAAGCAAAAAAGAA